TACAATTTTCCCTAAACTTCCTCCCTTTTTATGTCGTTTATCCGAAATGCTTCGGTTATTATTTTTACTAAAACTCTAAAAGTAACCACCTTTTTCTTAACAGAAACATGAGTTGGGTTAGGCAGAAATAAAATTAGGTTTATTAGCCTAAATAAAAATAAATATGGTATTTAAAGAGATGCTATTGAATTAGACTTTTTCAATATTTGCGAATAGCCTCTTCATTTAATGACACCCCACATTCCTTGGAGGAAGAAGGTTGTGACTGTGGTCTTTATGCCTCATGCGATGAAGGAATAAATAGGTGTGTCGATGTGTTGAGTATATGTTTTATTATTATCTTTCCCTTTAAAGTAAGGGTAGGTACATAAACGTATGGGTATTTGTAATTTATTTAAAAACAAGTAGGATTTAGATACTTAACCATACATACATACATATATATGTATGTATACATACATGTATGTATATGTATGTATACATATATATATATATACATAATCAAGATAAATAATATATTAATAATATTAATAACAAGAATTTGTTATAGAAGAGATAATCAATACATAAGGCTAAATATATAAGTTTTTTTTTTAAAGAAAGAGTTCTTCAATATTCAAGTTTTGCATTTTTAATCTTTCAAACTTTAGTTTAAAAAAAAAAACTGTGCAAGAATAGTATTTTTTTTTTATTTTCGCCATTCAACGTTATTTTAACTATTGATCAAAATAGCTTGGTCTATCCAGTTAAACCAATTTAGTATTTGAATTGGATTAACTCGGTCAATTTTAAGAGAATTAGATTTGACCCGAAAATCAGAGTGGGTCAACCCGAGGTCAAAGACAACAAAAAATTTAAGCTAAGTCACTCAAATTCGTGATTTATATTCTCTAATGTCTAGTTCTCTTTTATCTTCTCTTTTCTAATATTTAATATTTCCTCCACAGGCTAGGCTCAATTTCTGACCTCTCTTCTAACCTTTGCCTCCAACTCTAGTGATCCAGCCTTTGACATTGATATTGAAAACTTGTGAGTTTTGACAGCTTGCCTCCGGTTCCAGCATTTTGCTTCGAGATTGTGAACTTGTGCCAACATACCTCTACCTCTAGCTCTAGTAATCTAGGCATTTAGCTTTTGACATCAAAATCTCAAGCATTATTGACAAATTAATGTTTTGGTTATATATTTGTGTGTATAAATTTTTTTATTTTATTTTTATGTCACCAGTTCAACTGTCAATCTAACTAGTAAAACCATAAAAACCGTGACATGTTGCTCTTTCTAGTTCGACGTTTCAAAACACTGGTCTAAAATTAAATGTAGTTCAAAATTATATATATGATTTTCAATTTTTGAACCTTTTCACTAAAATTTTGCTGGAGAGGTATTATTAAAGCTGTCAATAAGAGCTGTTCTAATCTTTAATTTATAAGTTTGACTCATAAGGGCTGAAGCTCATAAGTCCTCTTGTCTTATAATTAGCACTTTTTTCAAACTCAGCCTTTATTAATAGGGTTTAAGGCCAAGCTTGATAGCCTACATAATTTTTTTAAAAAAAAAATTCTAACTATAATAATACAACGTATATGTAAATTTTTACAAAATTCCTAAAGAAATATTGCAAGATAATTGATTCTCACTGTATTGATTTTTTTACTGGGGGTTAAATGGAGATAGGAAAAGGATGCATTTAACACACAGGAATTGCTTATTCAAACCTATCTCTGAAGGGGGTTTAGGAATTATATCTATTCATGATATCAACGTTTCCCTCCTCGCCAAACAAATTTGGCGCTTAATTGATGCTAAGGAAGATTCTTTAGTGGCAAATACTCTCAAAAGTCAAATACATTGATTTTTCAAAGCCTGAGATTGTCAAAAAGCCTTACAATTCTCCATGGTACTGGAAAGGTAAATGGGAATGTGCTGATATGATTGTTCCTAAATTGTTGGTAGAGGAAATAGAATTGATATTTCAATCCCTTTTTGGTGGCCCATGAAAGAACAAATTTCTCATATCCCAATCTCTCATGTCTCTGATCTCACAACCCATACCCATAATCCCTAGACACCTTTTCAGTGGAATGAATCTTTGGTGAATCAATTATGATCCAATCATAGGATCAACCATCTTAAATCAACCAATTCTGGTTTGTGAATTTGAAGACAATTTTTTGGGATGGAAATAGGAGTGGTGCTTACACTGTGAAAGATGGTTATCTTCCTCGAGCTAACTCATCAATGAATTCTCTAAATCATAAGACTGTCTTCTGGAAAGATTTGTGGAAATTACAAATCCCTTGTAAACATATTCTCCTTGTTTGGAAAATTCTTAATGATTGCATGCCTACAGGGGAGACTTTAAGAAGACATCATCTTAACTCAAATATTCTGTCCTTTTAGATGTGATCAAGAGGAATCATCCTCTCATCTATTCTTCTCTTGCAATCAAACATGATTGTTGTGGTTTGTTGCCTTTGGCATCAGGACTGACAATATCACCATGGAAATTATCAAGACTGGCTCCTTGATTCTCTAAACAAGTTTACGAAGGATGATAATATCCAATGGATTAGTAATATTACCACTATGACTAGTATGATTTGGTGGAGGAGAAATCAGATCACTCATCATGGAAATAGATTTGATCCTTTCCAGACAATCATGCAAGTGACAAGCTTGAATCTATACTTGGATACTATCTTCAAACTGGACAGGAAATTGCTGATGAAGCCCCCATGTCAAAAAAAAGGTGCCCGAATATAATCTAATACATGGAGGCTCATATCCTTGATCATAACTCACTAAACACTATTAAAAAGATGATCAAAGAGTGATTAAGAGCTACTTAGTTGAAAGCCTCAATATTTAGAGTCACTAAAAGCTTTTTGAATTAACTCTTACATATGTGTCACTCTAGGGTTTTTTTTCTTTGACCATTTAATCTTCATTTAAATCTTTGCTTCATCTACAATTATACACACAAAAATGATTAAAGTATCTATGCAAAATTTTAAATCAAAATTTAAAGTCAATTATAACATACAATACCATTTTCAAGTTCTTAAATTATAAAACATGACAACTTAGTATATTGTCTTTGTCTTAGAATATTCTATTACTTATATTTTTTAATATCTTTTTGCAACTTAAAATGAATTTGAATCTCAAACTTATTATATTAATCTTAGGAAGACAAAAGACAGAAACTAAGTTAATGTCCTACAAATGCCTAAAAATTGTCAAAATGATCAAAATACTTTTAGATTAAGAGTGAACCCTAATTAATTTTAAAGACTTAAAAATATCTGAGTATGCAAGAATTAAGTTTTTAAGTATGTAATGATACAAGAATATCATCTTAAAATGTATGTAAATAATATAATATGTCTGCAATGCAAAAATGGAAGATTTGGGTTAGAAAAAGGACAAGGGGCAGAATTAAATTTTGGGAAATTTCCTTTACCTTTGGAAACGATCTCATCGTCTCAATTTCCAAGCAGGCTTATTTGGGTCCGTGACGCCCTTTTCTGGCTTCATAATTATCTTTCAGCTCAGAATCTAGGGCCTCGTCATGTGGGGATCATCTTCAACGAGAAAAATCCCCAAGCCTTTCATCAGTCTTCTGGAGATTGATCCGTGTTGGGTCAACGACACTATGCTAGCAGATGCCGGCAACTTGCTCGCACATTTTCATCAATTTCTTTTAATTTTTCTTACTTGTTTCCTAATATGTGTGACTTTTCAGATGTTGGACCCACTCTCTAAAGTGGTTTGTCCTTTTGTGCTTTTTTTCTTTTTACGTTATTAATATATGAATGCTTATATTTCAAAAAAAAATTGTGAATTATAAAGTGTCTTAATTAAATATTTAAAATGCAAGTATTTTTTTTAATTTTTATTATTATCAATCTTCATTTCAAAATAAAACATTAGACTCTTCAAGTGCTATGTCAGCAATCCCATCATCACCTAAAATAAATATTTAACAAATTATATTATTCTCATATAGTAATTCAAAATTTTAAGTAAATTATATAGATAAAGTTACATAAAAAAATTATAAAAGTTTAAGGGCTAGCCTAAGCTTGTTTTTGCAAGGTTTATAAGGGCAGGGTTTAGAAACTCTTTATGCCAAAATCTCCTATTTTTTCAAACCCCTCCTAAAAATTATATGACTCTATTATGTATAGACAATTATTTTTTTTAAAACGAATGATTAATCATTAGGTTTATATAATTTTAATTCAATTACAAGTTAGTCTCTGAATTTTTAACTTGTTATAACTTGATCATTATAATTTAATTCGATTGTTACTCAATCCCTAACTTGGTATAACTTAGTCCTTATAATTTTAATTATAAAATTATATGGAGTAAAATTATTTGTTAAAACTTAAAGATATACTCCCTTCAATCCTATTTATAAGATACTTTTCTAAAAATAATTTTTTATTTAAAATATAGGATACCTTGTAATAATTAATTCACTTTTTTTTAATTTTACCCTTTTTGGATTAGTGTGAAGGTATTTAATGTAATTATATTGTTATTGAAAATAAATAATAAAAATAAAAATACCTCTCACTTTTTTATGATATTAAAAGAAAAATTTTTTAAAATATGTAAAATGATTGAAAGTGCTATATAATAAAAGACAGAAGAAACTATGTTTTAAATAATTGCTAAAATTATAAATTTGTGTTGTAATGAATTAAAATTTAATGATTGAATTGTCAATGAATCAAAATTAGAGACTGAGCCTGTCAGGTGCATGGAGCAAAAATTTAGGAACTGATCATTACAAGTGAATGAAAACTATCATGACTAAACGATTAATTTTTTATAATTTTTAATACAGACTGTACATAAGCTGGTCATTTTGATCAAATTTCCCAGAAATTCCAAAGCGATGAAATTTTCAATGGCCCTGTTTTCCAAATCATAACTACCATGCGAGACGCGTCTTTCGGGCCCACGTATTTCACCCACCGTTCAGCTTCTTTTCATTACTCTCAAACCCCTCCTCCAGTGTCCATACTTCATTCCTCGACCAAATGAATCCTTCTCTTGCCCCATGTTCCCTCTTCTTCCTTCTTCTCCTAATTTTCATCGTAACCATTAGAGCCGATGATAGATCCACAAACTGCAGTAGCCGGTTCAGCTGTGGAACCGTCAACAACGTTGGATATCCATTCTGGGGAGAAAACAGAGCAGAATACTGTGGTCAGCCTGGTTTCCAACTTGCTTGCCAAGACAATACTCCAAAGCTGATCTTCAACGCTGTCACTTATCGGATTCTCAAGTTCAACTTGAGTGATAAGAGTCTCACTGTGGCTAGGGATGATTACTGGCAAACTCTATGTCCAAATCAGTACTTAAACACTAGCTTTGATAACACCTCTTTCAAGCTTGCCGATGGGTTTCAAGACATTGCCTTGCTATATGATTGCCTCAAGAGTTTCAATTCAGCGGGTCAATTCACCACTTCATCTAAGGCAGAGTGTTCGAAGCAAAAGGTGTACTACGGGAGCTTATCTACTTACAGTATTGATCTGACAGGAATTTGCAAGGTCGTTGTTGTTCCTATAACGAGTGCCAATGTTAATTTGATATTTTCCGATGAAAAGGAAATTGAAGACGCAATAAAAGATGGTTTTGAGATAGGATGGAGTGTTAACAAGGAAGAGTGCAGCAACTGCGTCAACTCTGGGGGGCACTGCGGGTATATTAATAATAAGTTCAATTGTTTTTGCAGCAATGGGCGTCAAGGAACGTGTTATGCAGGTATGGACGTCAATTGTCTTTGAAGATGATTTAGTCATACTGATATATCAGCGAATAGTTGATCGTGAACTACAATTATTTTAGGACTACTCAATGGCTAATGATCAGATGGATCACTCGATACCGATCGAACCGCTAAAATGGGTTGATACAGTGGGTTCCACTCATTCAACCTATTAATTTAGTGTGTTTGGATACGGTTTAGAATCAATTTTTTAGGTAAAAAAACCTAAAAAATTGATTCTTCACAAAATTATCTAAACACCAAACATTTTGATTAATCAATTTTTGGGCCAAAAATTGATTTTTCTTCGAAGATGAGAATCAGAGCGTCTGCTTGTCAAAAAGTGTTGGGAAAAATTATAAAGAAATGTTCAAAAAAAAATTATAAAGAAAACACATAATTTAATAAAAGTAAAATCAAACTCTCTTCTCCTCTCTTCTCTTCTTTTTTTCTTAATAAAATTCAAACTTTATATCTTCAAAAAATTGATGTTTGGTATTTAAAAATTAAATATTTCTCTTTTATTAAATTTATTTGAATTAAGATCTATCGAGTTATTTATTCATGTAAATTAAATTATTAATATTAATATAATTTAAATTTTTCTAATTAATCAGATATATAATTTAAATAATATATTTTACTTCTTAAATAAAATTTAAAAAATTTAATAATATTAGATACGAATATATTAATAATTTAATTTTGAAAAGCAATGTCCTTTATAGTAATTTATATAGCTAAAATTAATTCTGATTAAATTATCCAAACATCTTCAATTCTATCAAAATTAATTTTAAAAAATAGTATCCAAACAGATTGCGTCATAACATAATCAATTATGATTAAAATCTACCACTTAATCAATTATTTTCATAATCTATTATACCCAATTAAAATTCAAACGAGCACTTAATCAATTATGATAAAAAATTTTATTTTACTTGACTCGGTTGACTAGCATAACTTGCTTGTTGTACTGTCTAATATTATACTATTATTTATTTGCCTCCTTCCATCCTCCATCAAATTCAACAGTATTCTTTTGCACTTATTGTATAGTACCTTTTAGAAGAATGCTTAGGTCGTTACTTGGTGAGGTATTAATTGCGTTTTGCTAACATTACTCATGAAGTTTATCCATTTTTTCAAACAAAATTATGACTTAATGTCTTAACTATCTTTCCTTGATTCTGATGAGATTGTTAAAGGAGCTTTATAATAAAGACTGGGAGGACAAAATTTACCATACCCTCAAGGTGCACTTATAATTTCAAGGTGAGTCCACCCAAAATAACATAAGCTATTTGATATAAAATACAAGCCTTGAGTACAATTAATACAAAACCTGAATAGGAGTTTCTTTCTCAACCGAACAATATCTACAACAATTACCTAACACTTCAAATCTTGATATTTATCACTTTTGTTAATGAAAGTCACCAAATTTGCAATCTGACTCAAACTACATCACAATCTAAACTTAGACCAAGAGGCAAGAGCCTATTATGAGTCCCATGTTGAACCTCAGCTTAAAGAAAAAAAGAAAAGAAAAGAAAAGAAAAGAAAAAACTGGGGTTTATAAGCATGAGAAACTCTCCCTCAACCCTAGCAAGTCGTTTGGGATCAGTTTTCTTTTAAACTTGTACTTATAACAATGGTATTTTCATTGAGAGATCAATGATATAGATAGAGCTATTCACAAGGAGACTTCATCTCTTGAACAAAAGGACATTGTTATAAGTCTCACATCAGAAAATTCACAAAAGAAATAGGGTTCATAAGTGTGAGGGACTTTCCCTCATAACCAATTGATCTATTTGAGATGAGCTCTCTTTTTATACTTGTGCTCATAACAAAGCCATCAAAAATTCTCCTTCCCAATGCAAACACTTGGCTCATGAAAGCATATGTTAAGCGATTCTCTCGTTTTATTCTATTAAAAATCTACTTACAAAAGCTTTTACATGAACGACTTAATCATTTATAACATATTTACTTCACTCACCAAAAATATTACTGCAGGATCATCTTCGAATGGAGATCAGATTGTTATTGCAATTGCATCTGCCGGTGGTGTTGGGATAGTGATAGTCTTGATTGTGATAATCTGTTATCGTCATGGAAGATTAAGAAAAAATGTCAGAACATACCATGATCACCATGTTGAGACATTCATGGAAAATTATGGCACTTTGGCACCGAAAAAATACACTTATTCAGAAGTGAAAAGAATCACAAAGTCATTCACAACGAAAATAGGTCAGGGAGGTTATGGAATTGTCTACAAAGCGACCATGCCTGAAGGTCGTCTTGTGGCAGTAAAAGTACTAAGCGAGACTAAGAGCACCGGAGAAGAATTCATAAATGAAGTTGCAAGTATTAGTAAAACATCACATGTGAATATAGTTTCTTTGTTGGGATTTTGTTATGAGAAGAACAAAAGAGCATTGATATATGAATTCATGCCCAATGGCTCATTGGACAAGTTCATCTATAAAGGAGAATATTCCTTGAATCCAATTTGCGATTGTGAATGGATGAGATTATACCGAATCGCAATCGGTATTGCTCAAGGTTTAGAGTACTTGCATCAAGGATGTAATACAAGAATCCTACATCTCGACATCAAGCCACAAAATATTTTGTTAGATGAAGATTTTTGTCCAAAAATATCTGATTTTGGGCTTGCAAAAACATGCCATAAAAAGGAAAGTATTGTATCAATATTAGGTATGAGAGGAACTGCAGGATACATTGCACCAGAAGTTTTCAGTCGCACATATGGTAGAGTATCATACAAATCTGATGTTTATAGCTATGGCATGTTAGTCCTTGAAATGATTGGAGGAAGAAAGAATTTTGATAATCAAGCGTCACATACCAGTGATATATACTTTCCCAATTGGATCTATAAAGAACTTGAGCAATCCAATGTTGTTGCAACAGATATGTCCATCTCAAAAGAGGAAAATGAAGTGGTAAGAAAGCTGACTTTGGTTGGTTTATGGTGTATTCAGACAAATCCAATAGACAGGCCATCAATGAGTAAAGTGGTTGAGATGTTAGAAGGATCCAGTGAATCATTGTCATTCCCACCAAAACCTTCTCTCTATTCTCCTCCAAGGCCACCCCTTCATTTTTCAGATGTCTCTTCCAGCATTACACTTGATTCAAATTCCGTGCCAAGTGGATGATGCTTCCAAGGTATGTATGATGAAATTTCTATACCCCTCCATATCATTACATACATATCTTACATGTGTGTTGTCCATGTTCTAACTAATTTGTTCTGACTCATATTAAGTTCTTAACTCATGTTTTGGATCACCCTATATATCTGATATATTGTTAAGAGTTATTTGGAGAGTCATCATTACATTTTGGAAATATTTTGATTCATTTTGTTTACAATTGAGCTCGTCAATTGATATTCTTATGAATTATTGATTACTGATAAATATGGAGAGAATTGAGTAAAAAATGTGCTTAAAGCAAGCCAATATTATTTTTTCATTAGTTTTCATGTGATAACTTCATTTGTTGTTATGGAAGGAAGTAGAAATAAATGAAATTAAGAAGTGCCTTATGGTGCCATAGCACCAGCGTTGTGGCGCTGCAGCCTGCAGCTCAATTACAGGAAAATCATACTCTGATTCTGTAGCACCAGACTCGTGGTGCTATAGCACCAACACCGACCAGAAACAAACAGCTTTGTTAAAACACTACTTCTGAGGGTTCTTTCATATAATTCAAGGGTTTTCTTTTTTTTTTTCATTTCACTCATTCTAGACTTGAGAGGAGGCTTGGGAGCTCAAATAGAGGTGAATTAAGGCTCCTGAGGATGCAGAAAATTGGCAGCACAGACAGAAATTCAACACCAGTTATTAGTTTCTCCTTTTAGTTCTCTTCCTTTCTATATCTTTCATCTTGTGTTTGGTTGGCTCTGTCTTTTGTTCATGATGTTCAGTTTATGTAGCTAAACCTTTATTTCAGGTTGCTGTAGCTTGATTACAGCATTAGTGGATGATGATTTCTACCCTTGGTTGCTTCAATGTTATGTTTGTTGATTCAATTGTGTTATTGTCATAAAACATAAGGAATCTAATTGGAGCTTATTCTGGTGTTCTCTAGAGGGGCCTTGGGATAGGATCATAGGAAATTTAGGATAGACCTGCAATTGAATCGTGTAAAAATGAGTATTCGCTCACTAGATAACTTGATTTGCTTGTAGGATATAAATATACCTACAGGCCCTACATAGTTCGTTTTACATGATACAGTACTCTCATCCCAGACGAAATTGGACTGTGCAACACAACACCTCTTAATTCTGGTACTGGTGAAGCAAGATCAAGTGTGGGCCCAATGCCAACAGATTGACCATACAATATTAATTGATCATCTTTCACCCCATATTAGTCTTTTAGGCATTTACATGCAGCATCAATATCTGCACATGTATTAGATTCAGTTGGCTGTTTCAACAGAGAAAAAAGTGGTGTTCGTTCAGTTACAGGCAGGAATTTAGCTCCAGATCCATTTACAAAAATGCATTAATAGCAGATAGTGTTGGTAGTCCATCAGAGAAATAAAGAAATCTGTCTTCAAAATCCAGATTTTACATAAAAATCATTTTAACACATCAATTCTGTCATCTTTTTATATCCAGTCAACAAGAAGTTCTAGATACTGAAACTATTACTAAAGCAAAATATAAAATCTATAATGGAAGTCAGACAATAAAAAATTCCTACAACAGTTTCTCCAGGGACAATGGAAAAATAACCAGAGGAAAGAAGTACAATGCTCCAACAGGCTCCAAACTTAAGGAATTCAATCCAAAATGCAAAAGTTCAAATAATACTTCCACAATATTTCTAAATACTTTTGAAGCATGTGTTCCGTTCACTCTAAGGGCCTGTTTGGTTGGAGAGGAGGAGAGGAGAGATTCTAATGAGTTCATTTTTTTTTTTTAATGGTATTTTGCATCATTTATCGTTTTCCAGAGATGTTAGGAACCTTCCTGTTCTTGGAGGCACTTCTCTGGTTGGCAGAGCTGTTAAAGACAAAATTATGGACACAAGAAAACATGACAATCGTACTATAAACACAGGGAGCAATCAATTCGAGCTGAATTATTTAACGGCTGCATATGCCCATTCCAGAATAAAAAGATCATAATACACTAATGAAAGAGGAAATTAATAATTGAGCAAATAGGAAGCGTTGCTTTTTATGAGTATTACTAACCAATCTATGCAACTCCCAGAATTATTTATGATCCAAGAACAGTTCCAGACAATGTTAAGCTAACCACATAGTTGTTCATCTATAGTTAGCTCAATTATAAAGCTAGAAAAATTAATAGCTAATAGCAAAGTAGAAAGAGCATATCATACCCCATGAGCCATGACATTGAGCTGAAGTCTACTGCTCAATTCGGCGAAGAGCTCAAACATCTGACCCAAATCAGCAGCATTCCCATGGGAGTAGAGCATAGTACCTGCCGCCTTGTAATGCGTGACATACGCAGCAGCGATGACGTTGCCTCGCCGAGTCCGAAGCTTAAGAACATCAACGTTGTCCTTCACGGGAACCTCGGGAATACAAAATCGACCATGGCCCGCTTCGTCGGAGATCAAAGTGTATGAAGGTGGGTTTGGGGGGAAGAAAACGGATTTGGTGTGCTCTTTCAGCAGCAGAAGCTAAAAATCTATACCTGAAGGCGCACAAGGCGGTGCATGGGTGTTGCTAGGAAGGTCGGGATCAAATGCATCAATCAACTTTTAAAACGATGGAGCTGATAAACAGAATGTTATGGATCAATCCTTTTTTCTTTGTTTTTTGCTTCGTCTTTGGCTTAGACATTTGCTGGTTGTAATTTTCAAGATTGGTACTTGTCTTACTCTTTCCAATTTGAAAAGATGGGGGCTCTGATTTCAATTGTTAGAGAGTGAGATTGCTTGATAACAGTGTCCAGTGGGAATTGGATCCTCTCATATTCTTATTTCTCAGCGTCCCTCACCGGCGTGAAAATTCCGGCGCTTTGCTTTATATTTAATACCTCGATCTTATCGTGTCATCTTATGTTAAAATAATTTTTTACACTTTATTTCACTACTTTGTATATATCTTTTATGATGAGAATTATATTTTTTTAATCATTTTTTATTTTCAAAACTTGTTCAAAAAATTACTCTATAAATTTTTAACATATTTTTATTAAATAGATCAAATTAGAATTTAAATAAATCAAAGTGTATGTCTTGCTTTATGTTTATGTTTTAAAAAAATATGTAGAACAAGCTTGTAGGAGTTTACAGTCTGATTTATTCAATCTCTGACCTAATTTATCTAATAAAAATATAATTTAAAAAAATTTGCATAATAATTCTTTTGAATAAGTTTTGAAAATAAAAAATGACAAAAAAAAAAATCAGCTTGAATCAGCATCATAAAACATATATATAAAGTAATGAAATAAAGTATAAAAAATTATTTTTAAAATTAAATTATTTTAATATGAGTTGATCTGACAACATATGGGACATTATCACATTAAACAAAGGGCCAGGATTTTCTCGCCACTGAGGGATGAGAATCTGAGAGGATCCGAACTCATGTCAAGTGACGACGGTGACTCTAAAGGTGATGTAGTTGTATGGAAATGAGAATCAAAGGGAGTTCAAAAACCTGTAAAAATTTTATTCGTAGATAAATAAAGAATAATATAACATAGCTTGTTATTAAAATAAAAATATGGACATATTTTTTGTCAATTTGTAACTATGAATAAATTTTTTTATCAGGTCTTTAAATATAATTCTTCATTTAAAATTTTGGTGAAATAACAATTTAGGACCATTATATTAACCATTGCTTTGTTAAATTAATTGCTATTTTAGGAGTTTATTTTAATCTCATGAAATCTCTAAGATTGGACAAAGCTTATTTCCTAACTTTTGCCCCCTTCTAATAAATGACAAAAATTACAATATTAAATATATAATTATCTTCAAGGGTTTTCTTTTAAGGTAAGGTTCTGTCTCGACAAAAAAAAAAAAAGGTAAAATGCACCACGTGGCTTTAAAAAAAAAAAAAAAAAACCTAGCCTCTTTCCTAGTTTATGACAACATTTAAAATAGTAGGGGAAAAAAGCTATAGATCGTGGGGGGGTTACTCTCTACTTCTTTAATATAAATCTAAATTATTAAAATTAAATCTGTACTTTTAAAATTTGTCAAATCTAAATTATTAAATTCAATTTAATAGCCTAGATTTGCAGTGATATATCCTATGCATTCCTCTGCAAAGGAGGAAAATCGCCTCCGTAGAGCATCACAATTGAGAGGCAAGACATCAAAAATTAAGGCTAGAATAAAGATACCTTGGTCTCTCTTTCTTCAAATTTCAAAATCTCATCACCTCCCCCTCCTCCCAAAACCTGGTTTAATCTCTAATGAGTTGGACTTGAAAGAAGTTAAATTGAACTTTAAAATGTGATAACAACAAAAATGTTTGGGAATTGTTTACTTAATTGCAAGAATTTTAAAATGCTAGACTAGTATTTAATTTTTTTCAAATTGAGAGAAAGTGAGTGTGTGATTGTGCTGAATTCAATGTAAATGGTGGACCCCTAGGAGATTAATGTGAGGCAATCCTTGTCACTAATTAATTGATTAGCTTAGCTCAAATTCTCATTGGTCTTTGGTAATTTAGGACTTCCTAAACATAGTAAAACTTAATCACAACCTAACAACTAGATTTCTTGCCATTAAATTGTGAACTGGGCGTATTTCATTAAGCTTCCAAAGTGTAAATTGTTATTCTAATGCCAAGAACAGCCACCAAAATTCTCTAATTAATCAACAAACCCTAGTTTAAATACTAATTAGAAGTGCGAAATGTCAAAACAAAGAGACTTCACAAAGTTTAACATTGACCAGGCTCAACACAACACAAGGCTGCTCATTGGAATAAAAGCAATGCCATTTGACATTTCCAGTAAATAAACCGAAATTCCAGCATCAAAATTAACAAGATATGAGTCTAATCCACCTCACATGAACAGCAATTCATATTAAATCCTTACAACAATTCCAATCCAACAATTGGACTAGATAAAATTGTAATAAGAAGGGTGTAGAAAAGCTGGAATTACAATGAGCTTAGCCTCCTTGTTGCTTTGGACTCAAGCCTCTTTTCCATTGCTTCTCCTAGGTATCCTCAAGATATCTAGCTAGCCACAAAATGCCATCTTCAAAGCTTCGGAAAAGCTTGTGAAAATCACGTCCATGGCTGGAAAATTCAAAGTAAAATTGGTCAAGGTAGGGAGGGAGAATGATGGAAAATTTGGCAAGGTTTTGTACAGGAGAGTGAGATTAATCTTTCTATTTGATGAATGTAAGTGCAAAAATCGAAGAGAGAGAGAGAGAATTTGCAGCTGGAAAATTAGAGAGAGAAAGAAATGAACCGGAGAGGAGAGACAGAATATGGTGTATGCGTGTATCCAAGTGAATGAGTCTGGTTGTGAATGTATTAATGAATCTGAAACGCGAATGCTTTTGTGAATGAGAGTGGATACCAAGGGTAGAGCACATACGTGACACAACTGCAAAAAACCATTTTTATTACACAAATTTACATCACCAATTAAAAATGCGATGTAGAAACGGAACAAGCCACGTCACCCTAACCAAACAGGACGCGGGTTGTTAAAAAAACTAATTATTTTTTTAGTTTTCTAGACAAGGTGATGTGGCTTCTCTAATTAATTATAATTTAAAAAATTGATTAATCAAAAAGCTATGTTGCCCAGAAAGGGGTCGACTTGGCTTTTGTATCCAGAAGCCATGTCCTTGTATACTCTGCGACGTGGCTTCTGTAGAATTTGCCACTAGCCATGTCACTTAGCAGAGGATAGTTGTAGCTTGTGAATAGGCCACGTCACCCATGTCATAGGCGACGTGACTATTGTTATGCATATCGAGTACTATTGTTATGCATATCGAGTGCCTCTCACTCGACGTGGATTTTCTATTTTTCTTTTTAA